ATTCTCCATCTCCTGTTTTGTTCCTTTTCTGAATTAAAAAGTGCTTTATCTCGCCGCTGGCTCATGAAACGCTCCTTTTGTTCAGCTCTTTCTCTTTGCTCCCATAAATAATCTGCTACTTTTGGGTCCTACATTCGTAAAAAGGGGTATATGTTAGTAATTTTAATTAAGATTGGAATTTTGTCTACGTTTATACTTTTTTATTCCACTTATAAACAGTCCAAATTACAAGTACAGTACAGGTGATAAATTTAAAAAGGTATAATTCTCTTCATGTCTCACCGTAACGTTAGCATAAACAGGCGTCCAGACAACTGGGTGTTTTTCTCTTTGGAGTACCAAAGGTCTTGCGAGGACATTTACATGCTCCAATACACGTTCGCGAACTTCTGCCAGTGTGCTCAAGTGCACATAATATCCTCTGTTAGCACACGCCATCCACTTCACTTCTCTCACGTCAGCCACCTATATCAACCTTTTTCATATTACAATGTTCTTCTAATAATTTGTTTATGATAGTGCTTGTGTAAATGATACGCGTATTGTAATTAAGTGTTTACTAATAGATGCTTTGTCTAGATTTGGGCGGAGTTCATAAATCATAATTATTCGCAATGCATTTAGTATTTGCCTAAAATAACAGGTAAACCGACAAAAGTAACCGAAATTACATAAGCTAAATAACAGGAGTACAGATTACATTCAAAACATAGCTACGATCACACGTTTACTAAACTAATTTGATTTTAAACTTCTACACTACATTTACAAAGCACTAAAGCAAAAGCAATGTAAAGATGGAGTAAAGATGGAAGAAAGACCTAAAATGTAGCATTGAATTTATTCTTTACAACATACAAATTAGCACTGATTTTATAAGCGATACGAATAGAAAAGAAAAGTACCACATTCAAGGAGTACTGGCAAGTTAGTACGAAAGGAAGGCATTATGCAGGTCGCACAATGACTACAACACAGTAATACCTGGAGTGGTACTACCTTTACCTCACGCCCTATCAGGTACGTAAACACTCTCACAGGAGTGTCATATTTCCAGTTGTACTTCTCGAACAACTCCTTGTAATTGTAGGGAACACCGTCTGTTACCAGCATAATTGCCTATGAAAAAAAACGGCTTCAGAAAACAGATCAATAATTTTATAATTGCACAAATCAGGGAAATTTGTATTGCTCTATATTCTATATATTTTCATTATCTTACTTGATTGCAATTAGCTCCACCGCTATTATTTCTATAAATTTCTAGAAGCTCAAACGCCCGGGTCAAGGCCGCTGAAAAATTGGCTATTTCCATCGTTTCAAAATTATCTAATCCTAATTTTAGTTCTCGTAAATTTCCCAACGTAGCCTAGAAAGGACCATAATATATTAAGGATTATTGAATATATAAAATAAATGAAATTAGAGATATACATTTTTAACACCTGCACTAGAGACTCTTCAAAACAGGGCACAATTTCTTCTACAGTGTCCGCGAAAGTCATGACGTTTACAAAGTCATTATTGCCAAGAGTATCCAATATATTGGTGACCACATGTTTTGCAATATCCCGCCGTTGTCCGGTCATAGATCCACTGCGATCTACCAGTATGATTACGTCTTTAGGACTAGCTGCAGCTTCCATGTACCAGGCTCTGGTTCGGCAATCATAAATATCAACGGGATCAGCTCTCCACTGCATTGCTGAAATCCATTAATTAGAAATAGGTATCTTAATATATTTTTCCAATTAAATTATTTATTATTATAATCAATTTATGGTTTACAACAATATTTACCAGGGTAATGTCTCATAAAACCTGTAGAGCTGCCAAAATACTGCCAAGATAAGGTTGGGTCGCTTTGATAATTATTGATGAAATGTGTATCTAAACCCTCAGACCAATGAATTCCTTTAATTACTTCGGGTGCTACAATATAATGGTTTAGTTAATTTATATTTCGATGTTATTATTTAGAATGTAAATAGACTGTTTTATATGCTTACCCCAAGCGTAAACATTAGTGGGAATATGGACACTGCTAAAATTAATATTGACTGGAATATTGGAAAAGTGAGGATTTTGAACCATATGAGCATTTTTTGATGGTGGTCTGGAAATATAATTTTCTGCCGCAAAATCAGCTTCTGTCGTAGTAGTCATTGCGTTTTCATCGAATGGTTCTTTCATTTCTTTACTGTTATAAAACTGAAAATCTTCAGGAACTGGTTCATTTTGTTTGTCGAATGCCATATTTTCAGCAGCTTCAACTATCCTTTTCACGGCGCTGATTTTTAGTTCCATCATAGCTCGAATATCATCTGACATGCTTTGAACTAACTTTTCTCCATCTCTAGATTCTATTTGTGCCGATTTGAAACTCTAAAATGACCAAATCGTAATTTAAGAGATGAATGATATTGTACACTTTTTTCATTATAAGTATTACTTACATCCTTGACCTCCTTTTTTCTTGTAATAAACTCTCCAAAGTGATATAGTTCTGTACCAAGTTTTACTGCCCATGCTTGCACGCTATTTAAATTAAAAGAAAAATATAAATAAAATGCGATGATTATTTTTTAATGATATGAGATCATGCTTTGGAGATTTTGAAAATTTTGGAGATCAGTTTTCGAACCGACTTGAACGCTATAGGATATAACGAATTGATAAACCTTCTTTGTCCCATTTATTTTTATATATTGCCGCTCCATTTTTCAGACATAAAAGACATGTAGGTATTATAAATTTATAATAATACTAGCTTCACTCGCTTCTACCTGTATTATACCTACATATAAACCTTCCTCTTAAATCACTCTGTATATTGTTGAAACCGCACTGAAATCCGTTTTAATTTATAAGATCTCAGCGTACAGACAGCGGAAAGCGATTTTGTTTTATACTACGTATAGATTTATCAGTTTGGGAAATAATATTACAAGCTATGCTTTTATGAGGGCAAGTTATGTTTGCCATATGACTTTTTTACTGCCAATTATCGACACTATTTATTTGATGATACTATTTTTTTACAGTTCAATGATTGTGGAACCCAAGTTTATTATAAATGGAAGGAAAGAAGAAAAGTAGATTCCTATGTGCTTTACCTAAAGAAGATTTTTTGTTATAGTCGGTCCACAAATAACTGCACTCGTTAATTAATTTTAATTGGAATGTGTACCAAAAAAGAATTAATAATTAAAATAAAACTAGTATCTATATACGAGAGGAAATTTTTATTGTTTGTTTTTTGCATCCCGAAACTACTGGTCCGGTTTTAAATATTCTTTCACTTAGGGAAAGCCACATCATACGCGGTTGACATATCTATAATTTATGCTTAAATTTTATTTTAAATTAGCTTTATATATTATGTTTTAATAAATCTAAAATAAATTAAGCATACATTTACAGAGAATTTATGTAATGATTTAACACCAGTGCAAGTTAAATGACTCGTTTAAAAGGAGTGACTTGCGTACGTACAATTAATTTGTAAAGTGTATTAGGATCAGTATTGATATCATATATTTGATGACAATATATATTTAAAATTATTTTTTTATGAAAACACGCAACTCATTTTAAATTGTATACCTGTCTGTATTTAAGATATCGTCGTAGTATTATGAAATATACAATACTTACGAGTTAAGTAGTATCTTTGTATCGTTCTTTGGATTCGCTATACAGTCCCTGGAATCAAGGGACACTAGAAGCAATAATAGTATTGACGTCCCAACGAGCTTACACATCAGAAACACTTAATGTAATTTGGGTCTTGTCTATCTAACACTTTTAACGTACACAAACACACATTCCAGAAGGATTCGAGGTGTCGGATTTAGCATTTATCGTGAAAACAGTGATATACGAAGTCTTAGAAATTCCTCGTTTGATTTACGCAGGCGTAAGACGACGCGGGCTGGACATGCGCACGGGTTCTTCTTGCGCAGCACGACGACCAACTGTCCCCCAGTAATTTTGTATACGCTAACTACCTGCAAATCGCATCGATTACCTATCCCCACATGACTAGGTCAGGATGCCACAAAACATTTATGTTACACAGCAACTTATGGCTGGTTTACACGTAATTAAGTAGATAAGTAGTAGTGTAGATTTATAACTTCATTTTAGTACGTTTAAACACATAAGTAACAAGTAGAAAGTTAAAATATAATTTTAATTAAGCTTATAAGTAGTTCAGTAAATTTTATCTTGCTTCTTATTACTTAGGTATACGTGTGTTTACAAGAACTTAATCACTTAACTTACTACTTATCTACTTAAGGGGAGGTTGTACGAAATTACCAATTTTTTAAACTAATTTTATTCTAAGGCTTTGCTAATATTTGCCGAATGAAAAAAAAATTGGTGGGTATTAACGACTGCAGATGCAATCGGGACCGACGGCTTTATGTGCCTTCTGAAGCACGGAGCAGCTCGAGATAACAAATTTTTGGTCACCCATCCTATGGGCGACCATTACGAAAATTGCTTAACAACAGTATCGTAGACCATCTACTACTCTACTGCTAAGCTACTTTGCAACAAAATCATACTCGTACTAGACGTCACGTCGGGCACAGCGTCCTCAAAGTTAGAAGTTCAATGGAATAAAACCTTTATTACCTCAAACTTAACGGATATCTTTGTACACACTGCTTCACGTCAGGTTTCAACTGTATGTCAAATTTCCGCAAGTAATTCTGTACTCTATCCTCTATACGTTAAAATCAATTGAACGAATTTAACAACTATTGAAATCCTGCTGTTAACGTAATAATAACATAATTATCAATAGAATCTCTACTACTTGCGTTTTACCATTGTTCTATCTACCTGAAGTCCAATCATATTTTGCAGAATTGGTCTGTTGGTTAACCTGACGTGCTATTATGCAAACCAGCTGTTGCTGACTGTACATTAACCAACTAACCATGAAAGCAAATTTAAATAGTCTAATATGATATTAATGAAACACATTTATGGTGCAACAAGTTTTATTGCGAAAGTAACAAAGGTACAAATTGGCCTCAAGGCTTATCCCGTCCAGCCAGAGAACAATAACGCTAGAAAACTGCAAACGATAAATATGCCCAGGTCTACACTGCTTATACTGCCGATACCACATGCTGTTATGTTCTTCTCCTGTTAAACATAAATAGTAGATTTTAATTCCAACATTTTAAAAAGGTATTTTTGGTATTTGGTAGCATTTCAATTGGGATATCTACTGGGGCACAGGCTTTCTCCTTGGAAATACGGCGAGTATATATTATAGCCTTCATAGTCTAGAGACGTCACTTTTTAATTAGACTTCTCTTTATGAAATAAAACAGGAAGAATAAAGCAACATTTGCATTTTCTTGACGGTTATTCTTAGTACAAGGCTCGCCGTACATTTGCAAACTGATGACATAGCTTTCGACATTCACAAGTGCTTGTACCAGCCTTAATTAAGCCACGCAATCCTAGTGCAGAGTGGTGGTTGCTAGTGACTGCAAATACAGCCAGGACCAACGCGTTAACGTGCTCCCTCGTCCACAGTAGGAGGATTTCGAGATTTTGTTTATGATGTCACTGAAATGGCCTTTATGAAAGTTACTTGATCTTTGCAATTGCAGACTGAAGGCGTTAATCACTCCATCTTTTCGAGCATTGTAGGAAAGATTAGCTATTATATGGGTTAGGGCAGCAACTTAAACAATAACACCATGTTAAAGTACGGGTTAAGCAAATAATAATGATTAATCATTTGGCAATGGTTGGATGACGTCATAACTTAAACTGGAAACTACGACCGCCTAAGTTTCGCTGGTTAAAGTTATTGTTTTACTATGCCAAGAAAAAATGGTATAACGCATTCCCCAGGCAATGTTAGAGTCAGCGTGACAAATATTGTCAGACTTTCAGTGCAATTATGGTGTCAGCTATTTAAATAATAGCTAGTTAACTACCGAAACTGAGGCGGTTATAGTTTACTGTTAAAGTAATGACGTCATTCAACCATTGCCAAATGATCGCCATTATTATTTGTTTATGCGGTACTTTAACGTGTTTCTTATTGCTAAAGTAAAGTGGTGCAACTAACCCTAAGAGCATAATCAGTGAAAAAATGTTTTTACTAGGTTTGAATAATTATTTTGATTTTAATGAATGAACTCCTTTTTCAACATCTGTTAAGAATTACTCCTACTAGATTTTGTTATGAAAAAGGAAATTAAATTAGCAGATGATCCTATCTAAATCGCGTAAAAAATATATTTATTTTTCTAGAAATAAAGAATTTTAAAAATTTTCTTAAAATAATCACCATGTTTTCGATAATTTTAAAAACAAATAGCTATAACTAATTAAGTCAGTTCAGACGTTCTCGAGTGCCCTTACTAACTACTATTTCAATTTTATTCTTATAGGTATGTTCCCGAAGAATTTTGGTATAGAAGGCAAAAAATTTCATTCGATTATCCATTTGCACTGTATGAATACAAAAGCTTAAATTTTTAATTTACATATAGCTTCATTTTGAAGAAGGAAACTGAAACTAGGAATTAAATATAATTCCTAACCTCTTTATGGTATGTAAAGCATCCCTCCAATCTTCGTCTCGTCAAACTCGCAAGATCGAGTTTATGGCACGGTTCTTTACTTGTAGTCGAATTAGTTGTCGGCTCCGGCGTGGTATTTGGTGGTATCGTACAATTGGTCTTATATTTCACATGAGAATTCTCGACAACCACTAACAAGAGATTCGTCTCCCTTATGTACGCCGCCCAGTATCTAGGATGACAATCCCCTGGCTCATCTTCGTGTACTACTATAGTTTCTCCCATAGTATTGAGGAACAGTGATTGATTCAGTATGTATAAAATTATTTGCTGATCGCAAGAAAATGGTTTCTTTTCATCGTCTTTCCCCGACATCGATTCGTTTCTTGTAGGTGGTAGCTGTGTGGTCGTCGTCGGTGGTTCTGTGATTCCCAAGCTGTTTAAGTCGTAGTCTGTGAGCGAGAGCATGCGTTATGTAAGCGGAAATATTAGGGTTCCAAGATGAAGGTTGTGCTCGCTGCTGAGGGGCCATGCGTATAGCACGTGTTGTTATTGGCTTATCTACTCTCTGCTTTTTATTATTGATTATGACTGGACTACATCGATAAGGACACTCAATTGAACCTACTCTTATCGCTAATATTGAAAGCTTTTTATTACTGTTACGTTTTGAGTGTCATTGTTATTGTTGCGAAGCGACACCGAAAGCGCACCTCTGTTAATATATCGCTTCGTATTGCTTAATCTAAACAAGCTAATTCACTTAACTATTTAATACATATCAATAACTGTATTTAACAAGTCTTGTGTCTTGTTTCAGCTCAAAATCAAGCACTTTTAATGATATTGAAATCTATTATACTTTATTTGGGGATATTACATATTTTAAGAGTAATACTAAGTAAAATCGGCCATAACCTACCTTCGTTGTCATAAATAACACTGGCATAACTGCTGAAATTCCAGTTTGCTATATCCGCAAGTATCAGGATAAATTCAGTCAAGAACCAGTGCATTAGATTTGTAACGATGCTAAATGGCTGAAATGTTAAAGGGAAAATTAAATGAAGTTATCCCCATCCTAATATAGTGGATGTAACCTTAAAGTAGACTTCGTATGATTTTCTAGCTTTATGTCGTTCCAAATAACTATTTGAGATGCTAATTTTTGCAATCATCAATAGAAATTGAAATTTTCTGAATAAATTAACAAAACATAATAATAAAGGAACACTACGAGTTATTGTATTCTTCGACATACCGTTAACATAGACCAGGCTCTACTAGGTGACACCTGCAACCGCTCGTTTTTACATAGTGCCTGGTAATTGAATACTTCAACATGATCGAACACCTTCTTGTCAAGAAATGAACTTAGCACGTAGCCTGTGTGCTCCCCGACTACTCCGAAAAACTTGCCTATTTCCTCCTTTTCCTTAGACATCACGACATAACCAGAGCTGTCTACCACGTAACAGTTATAGCGATGGTCTTCACAGCTGAAATGCTGCAAAGCGTACATTACATATATTTCCTTAATGTCTGCTTAAACTTATAATATCTCTGATTTAAATACTTTCCGCGAAGTATCCTGAAGGCCGCTTCCGCTAATTATACTATTGGAAGTTTAAAAAAATATGTAGCAAAATCCGGATTCCACGTAATAACTTTCGAGAATGTTCAGACAAATTAGGAATACACGTCGTGTCAGAATTTGAACCTGATTTAGTAAGCTCAAAAGAACTTTCTTAATCACCGAATAGTATAATTAGCTTTGTTTTACGATTACGATAGTCTATATCTGTTAATTTTAAAATATATCAATTACCTTGTCAGAAGTAATTTTAGTAATTTCAAAAAATCTTTTTTGAAAACTTTCAAACGAAAATTCAAATCCTACAACCGACGCCGGTGTCTCTGACTCCCCATCTTTATAGAATATGGCGTAACTGGCCGTCATTGTGATATCCTTATCTTTGTCTGGCACTACTTTAGACTCAATAATCTCATCAAGATTAGGAAGGGGAGTTGCAATAACCAAGGAAGCAGAATTGATCATGTGTTGTAAGACCGCCGCTTTGTACCACGTTTCTTCAATCGCATTAAAATATCTATCACCAAATGCTCTAAAATTGAAAATACGGTATTACTATCTAAACAACATGATTAAGAGAATTTACATTAGTCAAACTTACTCTTCAGTAGAATTACTCATTTTCATCCGGTTTCCATAATCATCAACGACTTCATTCATATCATCGTCAAAGATGTAATGCCATCTGGTAAGTCCGCTAGACGTGGCTATGAAGCGAACGCTCACATTGTATTTATCAGCAAGAGCAATTTGCTCAGGAGTCGAGTCCCATTCCTGGAAATATGGTGCCGAGAGTTTGGCGTCGAATACCAACTGCTTAACCAGGTCTTCGTTGCAGTAGTAATCGTCCTTTTGCAATTGTGTCGTTGCATCACCGCAATGAGCTACATAAAAATTATAATTAAATAGTTACCTAATTTAATTTGAATTATTTAACAAACTATGTTTGTCTTTAAATATTATATGGTTTATCAGTTCAATATAATTTGGCAACAGCTCTATACCTACTTTCTATTTTGAACGGCCGATCATCTTCCTCGTCAGGGTATTGTTTCTTAGTAATATCAATTTCATTGTTAGAAAGGCGGACTAAAAATGACCAAATTTCTTCTTCAGCGTTATCAGATTCGTGTCCTTCTAGATAATGATACTTACAATATACCCTACAACAAATAGTAAAAATTTAATAAGAACGTCCATATCTCAGCACGCATGCACCGGTTGCACGTGGACGAATACCTTTAGAACAACCTCAAAAGTTATGTCTCTAATGGTTTTATGGTGTTATTTCTGACTTGTATAATATTGCCCTTATAAGAGGATTAAACAACAGATATTTGATAGTAGCAAACTAAGCAATAATTATCCCCAAATTTGATGTAGGTACAGTATTCGGTGAATTGATTTAGTCAAACTTACCAGTCGGGGTGTACACGATAACTAAACCGAAAGTAATCTGTGACATTGATGCCAGTTAGTTCTTTGCCTTGTTTTGCTTCGAGTGGATTGTCTTTGAGCAGCAGTTCCGTGTCGCCGTAACCCCGTGGCAATGATATACCCATTGAGAAAGGCGTACCCACTAATTTGTTAAAGAAATAGTCGTGTTTTACTCGAGCTATTCTCCTGTACAAACAAAAAGAAGAAAATTATCAAATTGTATGGTTAATAAGTCGAACAGTTAGCGATTTTAATGCCAACAACACTAAGAGCCGGTACACACGGCGCGGCGCCGCACCGCACCTGTTTACTCCGCACCGCACTGGCGGCCACACGAGCAGTGCGGTGTCGCAATGTTTTGATGGTGCAGTTATGGCGTCGCAAAAACATTGCGACAAAACAAAAACACACTCTTCTCTATGCAGTACAAACAACTGAGCGATACCGCTCCTCGCCTGCCTCGCGCCGCTGTCCGGTGCACCTGCGGTGCGACGCCGGAGCGGTGCCGGACGCATCGTCTGGCATACCATACATTTATATATGCAGAAAGCCGTTTGCGGCACCGCTCAGGCGCCGCGCCGGAACCGCACCGCACCGTGTGGCCTGGCACTAAGGGTACATATATGTACGCGGTGTTTTTTTTTATATATGTATGGTTAAGGAGCTCGATGGCGCAGTATTAGCGCCCTTGGTTTGCGATATGTTGATAAGCAACTTTCGCTTTGGCCAGTCGTAGGATGTGTGACCAAAAATGTACTATCTCGGGGTCTTCCGTGCTTCCCATCAATCCGAACTGGGCCCACGTGGTGGGTCATAGCCCATTCTTCCTATTAGATTTGATCCGATTCCATCCATAAGGTCGGCCTCAGCCCCAATAGTGGGGACTTTAATCAGCTGGTGATGATATCTATAGCCATTACCACCGTCTTAGCTCAAGCTACTATGTAAGAGGGAAACATAAATCAACAATCTTTGTTATTTTAGGATTTTTGTAACACCAAGGCTGAAGCAAATTTAAATTTCATCTATGCTTGTCTTACTCAATATCGATTATAATAGTTCTTTAACCCTATTGTTTAATGAAACAAATATTTAATCTAATTGATATTAAATACATACACCCGGTTTCTGAATTGAGAATTTAAATTTAAGCACGCATCAAACAGTACTTAAATTATAACAAACTAATTTTTTAATGTTCACTTGATAGCGATTTAATAAAACTAGGCTTTTAGCTAAGTAACATGTAAAAAACTTAAGCTATTGAGAATAATCAGTTGAGATTTTGTACTTTTCTTAATTCAGAAACCGGCCGTTAGTCTTGCCATAAATACTGTAACATAGAATATCATCATGTAATTTAATATATTAATATTAAGCCATTAAAATAAATATAGCTTATTCGATGTGGTCTCCATTGGCTCTATTACAGTCCTTTAAAGGTTGAAGCCAATTATCAATAGACACGCGCAGTCTTTCCATGACAACACTGACAATCGTAGAATTGTTTTAGAGACTCCAAATATTCATGGCGTTTAGAGCAAGCCTTGTTCTCTAAATAAATTATAATCCAGAGGAGTAAGATCTGAACTAGATGACGGCCAGTCTTGATGAAGTCCGGAACGTACGATGCTAACCAAGATTGGGTGGATCAACTTGCTGAAATTACCTTCTTGGTTATTGAACATGGTGTTATTAAGGAGCTCAACTACTTTTTTGAAAATGGTATCTTGATACACTTATGCAGATATTTTGATGATTTTTTCACATAAATATGGCCTGGTCACTCTTTCATAACTAACACCCCACCAAACCATAACTAAAGTCGGATAATGGCCACGTTGTATTCTGTAGACAAATAGTGAAGCTTATTTAGAGCTTTAACCGTTAATACGGTCATTCTGTTTTTTAAATTATTGCTATGTTCTAAAAATTGTCTCATCCGCAAAGAGTTTTTTTTTGTAACTTCCCTTTGTGCACCGCTTAGATAAGTAGTTGTTTTGATTTTATCACCCTATTCTTTTTTAAATTATCTGTTAAGAAGTGATCAGCGTGTCTCTTATAGGTTGCAAGTTCTAAGATATCATTTAAAATACGCAACCTGGCTCTAGGCGCTATCTATTTTTCATTTTCATTTTCCAAGATAAAACCTTTTTTTTGGACAGGATTCTTTCCATTACTGCTTTAATCACCTTTTTCGTGCGAACACTACGTGGAAGACCTGATTTTTTCCTGTTAAAACGGAGGAGAATTCATTTTACCTCTCAATAGCAGGGTACACAAATATTTAACTAATACCAAGTTTTAAAAATTGTGTTGGCATACCTACTTTATGTTATTCAATCTCAACGATGCGGTTCTCTTTATTACCCCACTCCATTTTAATATCAAAAATATTTTATTATGTATTGGCGCGAAAATAAGAAAAGACAATGAATAATCATATAAAAATTACAGATTCAAAATTCAAACGTATTATTTTGTTTATTTTTAATTCTGACAGTATTTATGGCCAGACTTAGTAAATAAATGCGTTTCACTGTACAACCTCATGTTATCATAATGGAACAGGACTTTGATATCGCTCATGTTGCCGTCTTCCCCGTCGACCAGCTTCTGCCTTAGTGTCTGTATCTCATCGCCAAGGACTCGAGGTCCGTTCCCGTCGTCCACCTGCTCTACTTCTACAAAATCCACGCTATTGTAGTTAGCTTGGAGTTCATTGTTAATCTGCAACAGTAAGTACAGCATGCATCAGTTATTCCTTTCAGAAATTGGCAATTTATCGCAATCTGATAGACCTCACACAGTTTTACTATTCATTACACTTTATACATTATGCTAATGTCATGCTTAATTTTATATGATGTAGTTAAAGATTTCACTGCAGTTTATATAATCTTTTAGTTCATGACAGTTGTGGTCAATCAGGTCTTTCTTTCTTTCTTATAAACGATATAAACAATTGAATCATTGAATCAATGCAAAAAATATATATAATCAGTGTCTCAAGCACGACGGTTGTTATATTTGAGTAAGTCGTATTGTGAGATGACGAAAATCCATGTAAATAAACAAACAACTCATCAAAACCATTTTCTCGTTGTACGGTATGGAATTACAAAATAATAATTTACACGTAATTATCGAAAAATGCACACATTAATTGAGTTATTCCAAAGCAAAATGTCGAAGTGGCAATGTGATTTTCAATTTTATCAAAAGAGAGGTGTTTCGCATTCCGAGCCCACTTTGGTATTCTTTGGTATTCTGTTAAAATACAGCGCTGTTGCAAAATTTGATGCTTAATCAAATTAAACCTAAATAACAAAAACTAATTAAGTAGAGTATAATTACTTTAATTTTTATCTATCAATAAATAAAAAACGCATAAAATTACTACTGATTATTTTTGAAAATTTTATGAAATTCCGTGGTTCACTTGGTGATGATGCTTAATGCTTACAGGCCGATCCCTGTAAGCATTAAGAACCAATACTTTAGTAAAAGGTTTAATTTGATAACACCTTCATCGTCGACGCAGTATTTTAAACGATTCTTTTAAAATAAAGCACTGCTGGTTTTACTATAATATTGGAAATTGTTACCTTTGATTGGATTAACTGATATATATATACAAATACTCACTGTCGTTATTAATAGCGGATGTAACAACAAATATCCGTTGTTGCTAACAATGAAAGAGTATCCGTTGACGCCGAGCTGAAAACATTTAAAAAACAAATATGTTAATTTAAAACGTTTCGATTCTCTCTTGGCAATTATACGTGATTCATGGACAAAGAAATACCACTTATGGCAGTGTGAGTATCATCCCTTATCATTTAAAAAAAATAATTATATTAATATTTTTTAAATGGCGTCATATTGTATTACTACATTATTGATAAATTTTGATGAGTTTTACTTTCAATGTATAGAAAAGCAATCATATCAGATTGCTTTTCTGTTCCATAATAATATTTCCATACCTGATGAGGTTGAGCCAACTTGGCGATGCTGTCTATGGGCACATCTGTTCCCGCTACTCCGAGAAGCATGGCGTCATTGTTGTCCTTATTATACTTGAGATCGAACGCGGGAATCGCCACTGATGTCACCAGTTTGTCTTCATCAGGCTGATATAAACAATTGAATCATTAGTCGTAATTCAGCTACTCACTTTTAATGACTTTATTCCATTGTATTGCTTTTACTTAGTTACATATTGAATAAGTCTGAGAAAAATTGAAATTCACTAAACGCCTTTTTGGCTTCATAATAGAACAAATATTTTTATAATATAACAAATATTACGCATCAGCGTGCCATTTTTTCTAAGGTAATGTTTTTAGTGAGGTCATAGACGTGCCGACAAATAATTTTGTCTTTGTGATCATGGAAAAGAAATACTATCAACTCAAAACTCCGTATTTACCACAAAAAGGTACATTTGCAATATTTCATTTGGCAAATTTTACATTGATTTAAATTACTCGCAAATTCGATTAATGTAATATCAGTGTGGCTTAGGCGACGTCTGCTGTTGTACATGAGATGACGACAAACTTATATTGGGGTTGTAAAATCTTACTTTTATTAGAATGCGGGCTGAACTAGATTCATCTGTCAATCTGTTTCTAACGGAATTTTTAATGTAATTCGTCTCTGAAAATTGTCTAGATCCTAGGCAATTTAATACTACTGATATTACCTGTGGATATCACGATTGTGTATTTTCAAATTTACACTGAATTGTACTTATAAGTATTTTAATATTTACGATCCTTTAAAAATGGATTTTAAGAGATCGTATTATTTCTTATTGCTCATATCGTTGCTATACGTATTTATAATAAATTACCGGTTAATATTAAATGTATTGATAATTTTATTAATGATTTTAATCCCATTACATTAAATATTTAACGACAAAAATTATCTTTCAATTAATGAATTCTTGTTAGATAAATCTCATTCTTTATTATTGTATAAATCCTTTGATTATAATATAAACCTATGATAAATTATATAACAATGATTTGATATTCGCTACTATTGTGTGATTTAATTTTTATGACATTTGATTTCCAATTAAAATCAGACAATTTATTGTATACATGATAGATAGATAGATATAGCATTTATTTGCATCACTTTACATGCCTTGATACAATATTAAATATAAGAAACAATTAAATATTAATCTAAGAACTTAAATCTATAATCTTATTCTTGTGTGTGAGTTACAGCGATGCAAAAAGGCAAAAGTTCAGCGATTTATTTGCTCCGAGAGAGCAAAACGCTGATTTTCAACTCCTGCCTGAGGTATGAGACCCATGCAACGAAACCAGACGCCTAAAACCAGTTAGTCGTATTCCCATCGAAAACCAACTCCTCGTTAGTACCAGAGCTCAAGGACAAATTATAAGTTTATGTTGTAAGGGGACGCAATCAATTAAATATAGTATAACAAGTATTACATTTCTACCACCAAATGAATATAATACGATAACAAATATATTTGATAAACATATCGTGTAATCACCTACGACTGCCTACGTGTTGGATATTTGTAGTTCCAAAAGATGGTTTTTAAAATTATTCTTAAAGGTATTTAATGTCTTACAGTTTCTAATCGGTGGTGGCAGGTCATTCCAACACTTCGTAGCAGCAAAACGGAAGCTGCCACGAAAAACAGCCGTTTTATGTTGTTGAGTTAACAACCGAGTTGCCATTCTCACGTGACAATTTGAAAATTTCAATTTGCTATATAAATATTCCGGTCTTTTGTTTTTTATGAAGCAAAGTGTACCTTTCGTCTAACAGACATTTTAAGCCAGAGATTTTTATTTAAAAACGGAGTAATATAAAAACAATACCATGCACACGCATTCTGAACACGTTGTACAATTCTTTTTGTACGTTCTAGCAAACAACTTCCAAACACAGTATCAGCATAATTAAGTTTCGAAAGAACAAGTGCTTCGCACAGTTTGACACGCATTTCAGTACTCAAATAATCGCGAATATTATAGGTATAAAACCTTCAGCCTATAAAAGCAATTACGAACGAGTTCCAAAATATGACTTTCAAATCTTAAACTACCGTCCCATATACGGGCCAAAAATATACCCAAATTACGGGCTTGCGATACACATTCCAGTCGATTCCCCTCAATGAACACCTCTGGAGTTCGAACTGCAATTTCCTTTCTCACATATTTTAATCCCAATATCATAAACTTACACTTACTTGAGTTTAAAACTAAGTTATTTTGATAACACCAATCTGATATACGATTTAAATCCATGTTCAATTTTTGAACTGCTATATTGGTTTTGTGTGGATGAAAAGAAATGTATAACTGCAAATCGTCTGCATACAAATGATATCTACAATCATTAATAGCCTTAATCAAATCGGCAGTATATAAAATAAAGAGCAACGGTCCCAAAATAGAACCTTGGGGTACTCCCCTAAGCATCGCAGAAATAGTTGACACCGAAACTGTCCCATTTACAAGTGTTTCTACTTGTTGTGTGCGCCCAGTAAGATAACTTTTAAACCACTTTAAAGTTGTTTCTGTAAAACCATAGTACATAAGCTTAGACAATAGCAGTGTAATATTTATTGTTTCAAATGCCCGAGAAAAATCTAATAACACTAAAATAGTCCCCTCACCACTACCCTGAGCCTCAATGATATATATCATCCACTACATCCGCCAGAGCAGTTGCGGTGTTATGACATTTTCTAAATCCAGATTGTTGATTTTCAGAAACCAATTCTAACTTGAATAAAGCCGTGCTATGTCTATTACATTTGTAAAAATTAAAAAGTAAATCGTCAACTTTCGTCTCGCCCGGAATATCTAGAAAATGTCTGTTCAAACTACAGTGTTAGTAAGGGTATATCGGTCTTCTTTTCTTTGAAATTTAGTATGTCATTTTTTATATTTTACCACAAAGTTTTTGGGTTTTTGTTTGTTATACCGACTTTAATATTTGTACATCGTCTTAAGAGATAGTATAAAGTTAGAGAGTATAAACTCTTTTTCACAACTTTAGCTGATTATCTACATTTTATTATTATTACTATTATTATCAATACTCTTAGCAGTACAAGCGGTACTGTTATTGTTATACAATTAATAGGCAGTAGGTACCATAGAACAGGCAGTACTCACGACGAAATACATAGTACCTATTCATAAATTAATGAACGCAATATCATCCTGAAGGCCCTTTAAGCCGTTGAAAGCAGATGCTACGAACGAACTAACACGTTTACGTAATACGTAATTTAGAACGGGAATTCAGAGGGACTGAGTTAAAAATACCTTGATCCTTTTATATAAGTCGGCCATTTTAGAATTTTATGCAGCTTAAAGTACAGTCGATATAGTTTTTAAAAATAAAACAATAAATATATAATCTAAGCACAAAATAAATTCTAAATGTGAGTTCTTTATTGAGTTTAGTATAATTTCTTACTTAATAAACAGGGACTCTTAATTATTTTGTTGAAATTTGGTATACCAACAACATCCTGGTCTTATTGCGCTTAAGGTTTTACCCCAATATCATCTCCAATCTAAGTAGACGGAGAATACAGTTAAGTTTATATATGCTTAAATGGAAACTATCGCTCTGCATACCTACATACATACCTTCTTGACATCTCTGCTGACGCCCCATAAGGAAGTTCTCTGGAAAGTTAAAGAGAAGACAGTTTAATATAAAAAGTTTGAACATTGTATGTTTAGGTGAGGTACGAAATTATCGAAGTTGTAATTTTATGGTTATGCTAATATTTCCCAAATAAAACATATAATCGATTGTTTGTTTAAAACAGAAACGTAAATTTTAATAATTCGCTCGATAGAAAAATATCGCAAACATTATTTATTGATCATTATTCATCTTAACAATATAAATACGAGTTATATATAAAAAATAGGTTACGTATGATTTAAACTAAAATAAACAAGTATTTTATAACTCCTTTTGTTTTTTTTTTCTGTATAAAAACGTTTAAAATCAATTCTTTAGATTTATTCGCCAGCTTATGTGCCCGAAGTGGTCTCGTATAAATTTTATCGTTATCGAATCAGTAATTTTATTTTATAAAATATAAATATATTTTTCCCCAAATATCTTCAAATTACTAATATGGCAAATTTATATCAGCAAAAAAAATTGCACCTATTCAAAATCGGAAACGAGGAATATCTATATGCAACGGGTACGTAGGTTCGATAATGGTGCTCAAAATTTCCGCACTTAGACGCTTTAGACCCATTGTGTGTAAAATGTTAACATATGTATAATTTTTTTATGTAAGTCGGTAAATTCGCCGATTTCTTCGTGAATCGTGAAACAATTTCTATCAAATTAGCTGTTTTCCTTTGACTTCACCCGCGTACATATATTGGTGTATAATGTAGATGAAAGAATTGAAATCGGTCCAACAGTTTTGTGGTCTATTCAATGCAAACAAAACACCAATCAAGTCTTTCCTCTTTATAATAGAAAAATAGATATGTATGGGAAAAAATATGTCCAACAAACAAAATCTCCTCTCCTAAGATTTTCACTATATAGATATTTAATAGTAATATTATACCTTTAATAAAAAATACACTTTTCAAAAAATAGAACTGACTTCAAATTTTAAACAGCGAGAAATAATACTCATCTTAAGCGACTTCATTATTCAAGAACCTTCTATATTGAAATTAAAGTCGGGCGGAGGATTTCTGAGTTTATTAATTAAATAATAACCGCTAGGTATTATGTCTCACTTCTTTAAAGTTTGAAGTCGATTTTTTTTTACTTAAGCATTATTTTTAATTATCCACCTATTATTAAATTTTATTTACTTTTTGTTACAATAAGGATGACGAGTGGGAGAAAAAAATCTATTTAGTCCGTCAGTCAGATAATAGAAATATATAATACGTATTCTTTTTGCTTCAATTAAAACAAGAAAAAGCTTAGATAATTGGCAGTAAAATTGAGGAGTGGGGACTCGCTACGTCATAGTTTTGTAGAAAATATACAAAAGCGTGACGTCATGCGACATTTCAACTCGATGTATCGCCGTAATTTATTGCAAATGCAAAAAATACGTATTTAATATTCTTCAACAATTTACCTGACAGACAAACAAACAAAAATTAGTCGTCATCCTTATTCAAATACATGTATATTGTTATAAATAAATTACCTAAAGTCGTTGCTGCTCGTTATAGTTTCTGTTATTGAACATGGTACGAGGTGAAGGTGCCATGATTTGATAAGAAATGTATTTTGATACACAATTGCACTCTATTTTGTACTTATTTTGCAAAACACCTTAATAACAACATATATGAACTTGTATCCATAGGAAACACAGCTACTCACTTCTTAACTGTAACTTATTGTAACTTTTATCATATTTAAAACAATTTTTAAAATTAATATTTTTATCATATTGAAAACAATTTTTAAAATGCTCTTCTCTATATATCGTTTTAACAAAACTTGAGATATTTTCAGTTCTAAAGCTTTTGAATACGCCGGCAATCGATGTCCTACTTTTCTGCGAAAAGCTCGAATCATAAGTCTCAATTTAACACCCTTTTGAATGGGATCAAACAGTCTGTGCATGACATAGAATTTCCTTTAATTCACGCCCTTATAGAATCTATCACTGTTGGAGTCTGAATATGAAGTTAACCGCTTCCATTTTATCTTTTCGAATTCATTATATTTTTTGATAAAAAGACAACGCACATTATTATTTAAGAAAAACAGTTTCAATATCTGACTTGACGCATAACCATGTACCGATATAACGCATTAACCGGATCTCTATCTATACTATTGTTTCAGTCAATTAGCATAGTTTGACTAAATTTACCTTTTTGGAAGGTCTTAATTTAGTTATATTCTAACATATTTATGAAAAATTATTAATGATTTTATTAAAATTAGACATTATATAATTAACAAAATAGCATTTGGTGTAAACAGAAACAAGGTTTTATTAGTGGCTCCTTAAAAAACGCAAAATAACTAAAAAAGATATTTGAATATCAACAGTCATTAGACGTAACAGTCATAAAATCTAAATAAGAAACTTTCATTGGTCAAATCAATATATTTATGAAATTTGGGATAAAGCCATTAGCCACATACGTGCCATTCTTGCCGTATTCACGGTCCTAAAGTATCAATTACACGAAATACGAGACACAATGGCGGTACAGAGCACCCTTGTTTAATACCATGCCTACACGCGAAATGAACGTAATATTTTCTTTTCATTTCACGTTTTAAATACAGTAAATGGATATAAGTTGAAAATTATATTTCTATATTTGATGGAAAATATTAAAATTTCAGTGCAATAGAATCCTTCGTTTATCTATTTTTGATAAGAAATTATATCAATATTAAAAAAAAAACTTAAATGATAATATTGACATTCTTCGCGTATTATCATTAAATTTTGTAAATCTAGTTGTGCTAGAAGTAATAGTAATAACATTTCTTTTTTTACTGTTTCACTGGGTACATGATGTGTCTCATATAATTTTTCTTACGTTTTTATTGTATGTTTCAATCGAAAATCAACAATATCCACTTTTAAACTATCGCGCTGCATTACTAAGTAGTTATAATACCCGGTATTATTAGTATTTAATCTGATATGAAAATTTATAAAATTTGTCATTGAAATAAATAAATAATAAATAAAAATTTGTCTAAATTGAGTACTATATGTGCTAGTATATATTTCCGCTTTATTGTTTAAGTGTATTGGTATGCACCTACCTTTAATTTATATTTTGTCTCCACAATCACCTAAAGGTTGACTAGCAGAGAATGCCTAATTCATTAAGTCCGCCTTTGTACATAAGTGCATAACGTATTCAAGAAATAAAATAAACATTTTCATCGTTTAAACGAAAATAAAAATATTTGTAAAATAAAAATTGCCTAAACAAAAATAAAAAAAAAAACACTTTTAGCTAATAGATTGCAAAAATATTGTAAATGGGTAAGAATTCCACCTCAGTCTCCTGAATCTGTCTAACTTTTAAAAAAATTTGCTTTAAGATATAGATTTTATTTATTTAGAAATATAGATACACTTATTCAAACGTGCAGTTTAAATTTATATAAACAGGTCTATACATATATTTATACAACCCTGAAGCAATAAAATAGCGTATTATTACGTCACAAAGGGCTGCCTATCCACGCTCCGTAGGAATCTTCGCTTAATTGATGTCGTCGACTCTGAGTCTCTGACTGAGTAGCGCTTTAAAAGGGAACATATTTCTTTTAAACTAAGCGAGACAGTTTTCCTTTTGCTTCTTTCTACTTATTATTAAGTTCCGTTATAAAGTAACTTTATAATGAAATAAACTTTCAGAGTTACAATTTTATATAACGTTATTTTAAATGTTATATTTGTCTCAGAATTAATTATAATATTGGTCTCGTTCATTACAAAAATTTTGTTCCTTATCAAAGTAGCGTAGGACAACTTGAAACTTGTTACATAGAAATCTTTAAAGGTATTCCTTTAATAGAAATATTATATTAAAAACAATAAAACAAATTAAAAAACATACATCGCCGTCGAACATATTACCTCCTCCTTTTTGATTTTGAAGTCGGTTGAAAACTTAATAAATTACTGAAATCTGGCGGACGTTTTGTGTACGTTCTAATTTCTGGATATATTTCATTAAATTCTCATAAAGACATTTTCAATTTTTTAGGAATATATTTATTTGGCATTCTTAAGCTCGGCGTCGGTTGATAAAATAATAAAACTTTTTTAATGGTTAATCCTTTTTAACGTTAGGGCAAATCTGACGGGAGTTCCGTCAAAGTGTCACCTTTCTTAGGGTTACACTTTATTGGTTAGTGTAAATCTGACGGATGTCTGAGTCAAGTGTCACGGAAGTATGCGTAAGTACTCGATGGATCGTACTTCGAATGGGCAAGGTTGAATGTTATATCACATACACCCTAGCATGAATCTCCATTAAGGTTTAATTAAAATTTCAAGCTCTAATGATAGTTCTTAATTTGAAAATTTGAATTGGTAATATCGCTTTAAACTACTGTCTCAAAAAACCAAACAAAAAGTTTAGTATTACTTATATTATTATATAAAGTAACAATGCTTATTAGTCCTAGGAATATAGATATACTCTCTAGAAATACTAAACTTATTTGTAAATAATTTTACTGTAGGCTTTGATCAAATATTGGCTCTTTATCCGGGTATCAGTGACTAAAAATAACCTTTCAGGAAAATGGGAAAGAGCTCTCCTTACTCAATAAAAATATATACACGAAAAATATAAGTCGAGTATTTTCCTTGCCGCAATCTCGAGACTTTACGAAAATGGAATATTCATAATGATCTTAAAGGAAACATTTGTGATTTTAAAATATAGTACATTTACTTTTAGTACCATTATATAAATATTTAAGAGCAAACCATGTTTTTGAGTTGAATCTTTCAAACTTTAAATTGAAACGAATTCTCAAAAAAAAAGGTTGTTTCATTTCTAAAAGACACCAATAAGTTTAGCACCTTGAAACTTTTTTCTGATCTAATACTTGTTGGTCGTCATATCAAATCGCATAGAAAAAAATATTTTTTCCAAACAACTTCCGTGATTAATCTTTCTAAAAGACTCTATTAGTACCTCTATTTGTTTGTAAATTAAAAGAAAATATCAAGATAAATCGAAACAAAAACATAATAAATGTTAATCAATCATTATCCAATTTTAGCTAAAACCTGCTAGATAAGGTGTATATGAGACATACTAAATAGGCATCCATCACTCATTGTCATGTTTAGGTAGTCACTCGCGTAATATGATAATATAGCTATAAGACAGAGTAAGATAGCAGGCGATGGTAGACTGGACGAATTTACGCTGGTTACGCTTTTTAAAATGCGACCTCATCCAATGATAAAATTGTGGCAGTGGAGTTTTCATTGTGTGATTCTAACCATGAAAAGTCAGTTAAGTGGGAGTCAGACTCGGGCGCCAGGTTTGCGTACTATCTGTATCTATTTATGCTTAGATCATTAAAACTACGCAACGGATTTTTATGCGGTTTTTTTTATAGATAGGGTGATACAAATCGAATGTTTTAAATGTAAATATAGATGCACGTGCACGAAGCCACTGGCGGAAAACTAGTTATTTATAAAAATCGCAAAAGACACGAGTGTTTTATGGAACCCTTTTTTAAATTATCTTACTATTCCTCTCTAATAAGAGAGCCTAAGATCCTACAAAGGGAGTTCTGGAACCAGAAGAGCTTAGCTTAGTATGGAAGCCTCTTAGCTTATTTTTCAGTATTTGTTTATTAGCGGCATTTATTAAAATTTTAACTGTCTAGCCATCACAGTTGACAAGATACACCCAGAGGTGATAAGCAGATGGGCAGCAGAGTCTTAGTAATAGGGTTTCCATTTTGACACTGTATAAAACTCTGAAAGTGATACATTTTGATTTGATATCGCGACTCGATAGAAATCGCGTTTTGCCAAATAACCGTCAATAATATTTGTCATAATATCCAGTTTTTACATAAGGACTCGGGACTAGTTATGCCGGACCGATAAAACTGCCGGAACGACGAGTGGTTTTACAATTTATATAAAGTTATTCGTATTTTATTGGACCCGACAAGAATGCCCAACTCGGTATTCTTGCCGGAGCCGTCCAGAGTAATAATTCGTGCCGGTGTTACTGTTCGCCCCTTCCCAGCGAGTCATTTCAACGTTCGCATTCTAATAGATAGACGTGCGTAGGTATAAACGCATCAAAATTTACTGCCCAAGTAAGTAAAAAGGTAAATTTACTGCCCAAATCAATAGGCGTAGACACCCTAAACAGGAGCTACCGATTTATTTTAAATTGGCTAGCATTGTGGCATCGAAAGTAAGGGGTCACTTATTTTCTTAAGAAATTCAGCAAACTTCAGTATACAACACCGTTTAATCTATTTTCGTGTCAACGTAATTTTGACCTTCTATTCAAACTTAAAAACTCAAACTTATTGACGAATAACGAATCTAAAACGTAAACATAATTAACTTGCGTTGTTGTTGTAAGCATTCATACGCATTGTGCTTTCAGCTAACACAGTTATTTTTCTGTCTAGTTTGTAGTACTGACCGTATAGTCGATGTTGGCGTGAGTCCAAGTTTGTGGAGGGTCCTCCTTAGCCAGGATCATGGGACGTGCGATCACGTTGATGTATTTCAGTACTTGCTGTTGAACCTCTTCTACCGAATGAATGTGAACGAAGTAACCTAAATAAAGAAAGAAATATCTATTTATTATTGACTATATAACTTATAAATTATTATAGTAGGAGGCATTTGGAACAACTGATATACCCAATGTCAGCAGTTCTTAAGCTTCTATTTATAAATTTATTTCTATTTTATATTCTTTGGTAATTTATTTTCACTATTACACATAATATCCTTATGTGAGTTATTGTAGGAATATGTAAAAAATTTGGCAGCCATAATCTTAGTATTTTTAATAAAATTAATGGTTTCCATGAACTATTTTATTAACACACTAGATGCTCGTACAATGAATGAATCAAGTTTATTAAAATAATATTCTATTAAAACCTATCTGTTTTATTAATATTCCAGAATACGTAACACTCAATTCAAAGCTACGGAAAAAAAAACGTTTTGATGAGGGAGGTACCTATTCAAGGCTGTAAGTAAGTTCGCTCACGAACTTTATTCCGATAAAAGGCATTTGTCATTCGGGTGAGCCGGCACTCATTGGTTTTCTCTATGAAGATAGAATCCGTCTGTTACGATCGTATCTATCATGTGAAACCTATTCAAATGTTCGCAGTTTGTGACAGCTTTACCTTTTTACTTGTAACTAACTAGTGTGTTATTAATATTATCCCATACACATTGAACTTCGTAATAATATTTCGTAAGTTAAATCTGGCCAGTTTTTTGTAGAGACAAAGACTGCATAAACTAATTTAAATGAAATTGTTATAAGTAGTACATATGTAATATATTTGGCTCGCGTGGTGAGCTGTTGCGAACTACAAAAACTTACGCGAAACTAGAACTTGATTTTTTCGGAGATGAAGGATGTTTAGGGAGAAAATGCTTCTTCATATGCGACCATAAAAATTGGGTGGCTGAATTTAAACGTGGCCGTACCAGCACCCAAGATGTACATCGTCCAGGACGTCCAAAAAGTGCCACTACTTCAGAAATTGTGATCAAAATTCATGATGCAGTTTTAGCTGACCGAAGATTGAAACTTTCCGAGATAGCTGATCCTGTAGGCATCTCTAAAGAACGGGCGCATTACATTTTGACTCAAGATTTATGTATGAAAAAAATATCCGCAAGGTGGGTGACGCGATTACTTACAGTTGACCAAAAACGCGTTTCACAAGAATGTTTGGACCGCTTTAAGAGCAATACAACTGATTTTCTGCGACGGTTTGTTATTACAGACGAGATTTGGGTTCACCACTATATACCTGAATCAAAAATTCAGTCTAAACAATGGACGGAAAAAGGATCCCCGGCTCCAAAGAAAGCAAAAGCCGTGAAATCAGCGGGGAATTATTTTACGATTCGAAGGATATAGAACTGGTGAAGTATTTTGCGACTTTGTAAAGATATTTCAATTTTAGATGCGCCAAAAAACCTATTTCTTAAGGTATAAAACTTTCGAGTTATCTATGATATAAGGCTTAAGCTTGCATTTCAATGATTTATTTTACGCAAAAACTATATCTTCCATATAAAAGTTTTTTGCAATTGAGACTTTGCTGATGAATATTCAAACATCGAACGCTCGTTTATATCTTTAAATATGTTCAAAACACACACAATACCTGCATAAATAAACGTTCCAAAGATCTACTTTTGCAATAATTTTTAAATCATAGCGTTATAGCGTTAATTTTCTTTGACTCTAAACCTTGTTTTTTAATAGCACAGTACAGGCTTTCTATAAATAACGCACAAATTATTTTAATTTCTAGAAGTAGCAAGTTCAACATAATGTTACTAACAAAACTATTTACTTTACTTGTAATTATCAAAAAACTAAAAAATAGTCAATAATACATCGTTTGATAATTCTCACCTCTATTCAAACAAGCCATCCACTGTATTTCCCTCACGTTTGTGACCTCTTTGCCAATGAGGTAAGTAAATACTCTCACTGGTATGTATGTTTCGTTCCCTACAGTTTCTCGGTTATACGTATCGAATACTTCTGTTAGATTCCCTGGTACGTAGTCGGTGATCACCATCACCAATTGATTGCATCCTTGCGTGCTGCTGACGCTACAATTGGTCCGTTTCTGTAACAAGAAACGATATCCACTTTTAAATTGTCAACTTGTCACACTCGACACCGTTCGGAAGCAAAGATGCTTTCGTTTTGCACCTTAATCTTATTATTAGGTTCTACAAACATGTATCCCAAACTTTTTATGCTATGATTTAAACTTTGAACAAGTTTATAATCATAGGATTTAAAACGTCATTTATGCTTCTTATTATTTTGATTATTCTCACTCTCAAAACTGGTCAAATACCTGAATTATTGTACTTTTATAATTCCTGACATTATACAATACCACATAATTACCTAGGTAATTTATATAAATTATTTAGTTTATATAAAGTCAACTTATTTGAAGAAATATACAAAATAACAAAGTCAATATAAATAATACAATATGGAATCTAAAAATAGCGAATAGCAATAAAAATTGAACACTCACCGCTTCGAGTGTTTTAAAAGCTTTTATATAAGCTGCGGTCAGGTTAGCGTTGCCTTCCAACTGTACTTTGTGTGTCTTCCCATTGTCAGTCGGCTCCAACGTATCCGTGATAGTCTTAAGATTTTCCGGAGTGGCCTGCACTAAGCCCTTGAAACATTTCACCACTTCCGCGGCTTTATTCTTAAAATAGTACACGTTAACATAATCGTTATTAGATAAAGTATCGAGTAGAGACCTCAGTGTCCTCCTGGCTACATAGTTTTTAAAGCCAGTCATTGAACCAGATACGTCGAATAAGATGATGACGTCTTTTGAACACGTTGCTGCTTCAATGTACCATGGGCGCACCCTGCAATCGTATGTGTCGACGACCTTCCGATTATTCCATGGCATTCCAGGGAAAAACCTTAATATGCCTCGAGAACTTCCAAAGTATTGCCACGCCAACGACGGATCCGATTTGTAATTTTTTATAAATATATCATTGAGACCTTTAGACCACAATATAGCATTAAGTGCTTCTTTCTCTGCAAAAGAACACATCATTTAAAAATAGGGACATTAATTATAAACTTTTAACAAATGTTCGACTTAGATTTATACAGTTGGAGACAAAAGAATTACGTTTTGTTTTTTTTTTTTAACAAAGTTTTCCTCTTTCTGCGGAGTTAATACGCGTCTTATTACCTTTGGCTTATTGTAAAGTTGGTGTACATACTGTATATGGGCACATTATTAGCTATAAGATAATAACTAAAAAGTCTGTTTATGACTTTTTAGTTGATTAATTTAATTTTATAAGAAAATATAATATCTCTCAACTGGTTAGCAAAAACTCTCATCGATAATGTCTATTCATCATTAAATTATACATATCAAATTAAAAAATTAAATGGATTTATTAATTTTAACACACATAGAACCCATAGACAATAAACTGTAATAAAACATTAAAATTTTATTAAATATAAGACGTTTCAAATCTATGGCTCTTTACCTCTACCGATTTTTATGTCAGTTACTTATTACTCATACACCACAATGAATTTCGATCCGGTTATCAGCTGGATAGGATAATGTTCTGATCGGTTTCTCAAGGATTGTCACCGTGCGAAGCCGGACAGAAAAGTAAAGACGAAATAAACATTAAAAAAAAATTATAGGGTTGGCGCCTAATTTTTGTTTGTGCATCCGTCAAGTACATTAATGAAGAATATTAAATACGTATTTTTTTGCGTAATAATGTGTAACGGCGATACATTGAATTGAAATGTCGCATGACGTTACGCTTTTGTACATTTTCTACAAAACTGTGACATAGCAAGCCCCCACTCCTCAAGTTCGATGCGTATTATCTAAGCCATATTTTTCTATTATCTGACTGAGGGACTAAATATAATTTCTTTTTTCATCCAGTTGTCATCCCTATTACATTGTGTTGTCATAAAACTGAATGAGGCCTATTTCATTTTGGTAACACATTTCTGTTTAGTCATAGAGTAAAATAAAATAATATACCTTTATAATAAATATTTGTTGGTACATGTACACAGCTCATATTAGTATTAACATTAATGTCATAGAAATGCGTATCTCTCTCTAACTGAATCTCCATATAGTTTGTACCATTCTTAGCAAACTTTGGTATGTTAGTGTCATCATCCTCGTCGATAGCATCAGCAGGATCTTCGTAATGGAACTTTGAGTATTTAGCTGAGCAATATTTGAAATTGTCATATTCTTCTTTCGTAATAGTATAGTTAAACTCTTCCGCTAGTTTTTGCGCTGTAGCATGGATACACTGTAATATACAAAACTGTATTACTAGATCGCTGCGGAATGGAATAAAATTCTGGTCTTCATAGAAGTCTTCACGGATACTATCTGGACCTGACTAAAATTTGATTCACGCGTTATCAACACGAAATTGGATTTTCATGGCGCTATCGTTTACTGTTGCGTATAATTCAATGCTGGAGCGAGAAAAATAGAAACATGCATAAAATACAATCGGCTCCATCAGCAGAGCGATTTTACTAAACAATACGATAAAATACTATCGTATACCTAACGAGGATAAAGTTCCGGTTATATTTAACCCCGCGCTCCATTCCACGTGTGGTTCCAGGTTTGGATTTTTGGATAATATCAATATAAGCTACGTAAGCACAATGTGAAAGACGAACGGCGACGTTAATGGCGTCAATTTGTGATTAATAAAGAACTTTAACTTTTAACAGATTATTTTATTCATGTCCAAAAATGAAAAAAAAAGGTCTGGTTTTAGAAAGGTGATATTTGCCTATTAAAAAAGGACTTTCGTATTTATGTATTTTATTTTTGAAGATGGCAACCCTAACCATGATGCCACGCAGCGTGGACTAAATATACATATGTCGCTTATCGCAAAAGGTTTCATACATGATTGAACGCTGAAGCGCGTTATACCACGCAGCAGCATATAACGTATAGAATGCTATTCCAGGCTAATAGATGTGGGTCAATTCTTATTATTTGTCTCATTATAATTAATAAAATATCGGTTTTAATTACAAATCTTCCAACTTTTTTAGCTGAAAAACTAATTTATCTTAAAAAGAAAAACTATATCAGAATCCACACTTAAAACTCAAAAATATTCAAAAGATAGATATAAAATATTCGGCTTATCTACTTAAAAAATAATAAGTGGAATTTAAAAGGCAACAACTTGATTTTGTAATATATTATGTGGTGAAAATAAATTATACTTCAATTTCCTTTGGTGTCTTCACTGATTAATTAAAAGCTGGATAGATTCTCACTGATAACGACGTGAACTCACCTTGACAGCTTTGATTTTTCTTGTTAACATCGTACTGACGGAACGAAGCGATGAATCTAATATTTGATTTCCATCTTTCTTCTTCACACTTGCGTTCATCTTTTTATATTTCTGAAATGAAAAAATTCTGTCTGAAGCATAAGACTTCTAGGATATTTAAAGTTAAATCAAAACAGCCGAAACCCGAAATAATTTATTTTTATAAATATTTAAACTTGATATTAAGATGAAAATTTTAACTGAAATTAGATACTTACAATTCTAATCTGCTCTGACTTTGTCAGAGCCTCACTGAGACCCCATAATTCTTGCCCTAGTGTTCTCGCCCACGCCTTTACTCTGTAAACCAGTAAAACCATTTAATACGAAAAAGATAAACAAATTAACTCATTTTAATAAATGATCAGAAATTCGGAGTAAGCAATGAGAAAGATATCCTATTATTGTCATTGTTTGGGTCATCACCTTTTTTTCACATTTCCTCCGCGCACGTTAATATACCCCCAAGCAATTTTACAATTACCTGATGTGCCACTGTGATACATTTATTTTGTCACAAAGACAAATAAGATCTTTGAAATTTGAAGTAGCTATAAATCACAAGGGATTCATTTAATAATAATATAATTTATTTAAATGCCCTTAAAACTGTTAAGAGGTTATAAGTTTCTTGGGCATATTTTCATGACACCAAAAATATAAATAATAACATACGACTCAAAAGTTCTCATAATAAACAAACTTGAATATAGAATATTTTGATTTGAATACGAATTCCCTCGCTTGTCCATTTTATTACTCCTGAAGTATTTCCCGTAGGGGCAATACAAACCCGTATAATTCCACTAGCAGGAACGAACGTTCTTTACAATGTTAAAAGCTATAATATCATGAGAATTATTTCTATAACATTGTAATATATTTTATAACTATTTGTATATTTTTTAGTATAAATATATAAATAATAGAACTATACTTTAGGAAAAATACATATTAAGTCGTGCCCTAAAAATAAAGATTATAATGCTTATATTATCTTTATTATTTTTTTATATTAAACACTACTTCGTAACTCCACAAGGGCTTTCAGATAAATATAATTAATTCATGTATAAACTATCATACCACATGTATCTACTAAAATAAGTAAGTATAACTTTGTGTTTGCTTATTACACAAGTTGAATGTAATCAAAACTAACCGCGTCGATACTTTATAAAAGATAACAGGAACTAAATCATCTTCCGAGTCGGGTTATGCAAAAGTTATTAGCTTGTTTGCCCACAGTCCGGGCGGAGGTCACGCTAAATTAATCAATACGCCTTACAACGAAAATAAAAGCTAACATACTGAAACAAATATTCACTGCTGCACTGATATACCTGGAAATAATAGACTGAAGTATATTTCAGTATTTGTAACACTAAAATATTTATATCACCCGCGTTTGATGTAGATTCCCGTAAGTAAAAGAATTTTCATGATAAGATCAGTATTAATTGTGTACCACATTGTTTCCTTTACTATTGTATTAATAACAGTTCAATAAAACACATTAAAATTATACCCGAGTTACATATTAATAAGTATATAAATTATAAAGGGATTCGGCTTCTATTTGTGTTTTTCTAAAACTTTCACTAGGATACATCACACTGATATTATAAGATATAAAATAAAATTAAGATATTTATTACCTTTTATAAAAAGAAAGTAAGATGTTAAAATTTCAATTGCCACAATATTGGGCCACACTCACAGTCTTATCAATCCTCAGATTAATCTTACAGTCATTTTCACTAACGTAGAACAAGGCATAGCTTAACTAGGAAACGCCTAATGTTACGAATCGCCCAAGCAGATTAGTTTATTTTCAAATAAATAGTTTTTTTTCTTTTATCCCTTGACATATTTATGACCGGTCATATACGCAAATGCCTAGCGCAAGGCGCCGCATAACACATATTATAATTTTAGACTTTGCTTAATTTCGTAAGGTGAAATACATTTTTACCTCAGCCGATTCCTAAATATTTAAGCAACAGATTTGGGCAACTCTTAAGTTTAGTGAAAACGGGCATTAGTGTCATTTTACGGCTTTGAGAGCTTAACTGTTGCCGAAACCGACGGACAAAAAATCATATTTTTGTAAATGTATCATGTATACAAGTATTTAATGAAAAAAAAAATATTTTAATGTTACAAACTGATACTCTAATTTTATTTATTTGTATAGATTTAGGTAATTTTCAGAACATGATTAGGTATGCTAGTATGCCGCCAGTTTGCATGTATGCTCTTTATATATTAATTTATTTTTATGTTAGATTAGGATGGAGCTTAAGTGAGAATTTGTACATAGTAAAATTTTGCTAATATTTTCTTTGCACCTTGAATGGAAAAATAACAGAACCCTTATCTGATCACAAATTCTCAATAGAGAGGAAGATAGTAAAAAACAGTTTTCTTTTCCTATATACACTCTACGATTCGGGGTTTACAGAGTCAGGATATTATGTTATAAAAATATAAGTTCAAAAACTAAAACCCGACTACACTTACAATTTTAAAGCGTAACTAAATCACGCTCTAGAAGTTTAAAATAAGATTTTTTAAATTGTGGCTTACTACTAAGCTGTCCTTTAGTCATTGCTATTATAGTGTATCAATCGCTATAAAATAAATTTCTTGTTTTATACTTTTTGGAGCATGATTTAGCTATAGTTGGGTTTTAGTTTTTTATATTATTTTAGCATTAAATTAATTTTCAGGTGTATTTAATATAACTTCACATAGCCTATAACAAGCGGACAACTAAGACGCTTCTAAGGATTTCATTTGACCGGTTATGATGAGTAGTTTCCAAGCTGTAAGGGAACAGATAAACATTCTTACATACATACATACCGGTCAAAATCATAACCCTCCTTTTCGCTTCGCCGCCATAGTCTGATAATAAAGAAACTATTTGTTTTCGATATCTATCCTGAAAATTAACTTATCGCTTTTATTTATTGCGTCACAGTCGGCAGCGCCCGCAAAACAAACGAATTGATCGATCTTTTCAAAGCAAGCAACAACTATGTTCTCGAAAGTTAGAACGGGATTGGTATTTTATTTGTTACTTGGATTTATTCTAAGGTTTCTTTCTTACAATTTTTGTGAACTTTTCAAAAGAAATGTTAATGAACCAAAAGCTTTCGCGTTCTTTTAAACATTTCTTTAGATTTGGTTGAAGTCAACTTTTGATTTTTCTAAAAAGGTTCCTTTTCCTCGGGGGAATTTTATTTTTGTATAAACTCTTTTTTAACTTCTCGGAATGCTGGTCGTATCAGTGAATATATACTTCGCATCAATATTTACGACCTCTCTACGAGATATCAAGTTAACGACAGTAAGTAAATTCTTCTTGGAAGTTCGATAAATTGAATTGTATCACCCGCATTTTCTATAAAAAATTTAACTCTATCGACTTAATATTGAAAATTATGTTAATGTCATGCATGTTATACAAAAACGTAATTTTCTCTTGCAAATTTGAATGAAAAGTGACGAATAAACTATCCTATTTATATATATATATATATATAAATGTGAAAGTTTCTTTGTTTGGATGTTTGTCGATCAATCACGCCGAAACTACTAAATGGATTTTGATGAAATTTGGTATACAGACAGGGTATTAGCTGACTTAGATAATAGAAAACTTTTTATCCCACTTAAAATTTCCCTAGGGTACACGCGGGCGACGCCGCTGGCGAAAGCTAGTTATGTCATATTTTTGAATAGATAATTTAAAACTACTATTTCGATCTACTTACTATTCATGTATTTATAATGGTAAAAATCAAAATATCATAATATCACAGGAAACTCACTGGTAGATGTATGGAAAATACTTTAAAGAGTAAAAGGAGTTGTTTCAAGCTATCCCTAGAATTTTGTATCTGCCATGGATCAGTCAGGGTCCGCACTTGGAAGCGCGAGCGACCTCTGTAATAAATGACTGAAAAATGAAAACAGACCACAGAAATCGATTGAGTCTCGTTACATTTAATAAAGTTTCAGTTATATATTAAAAATTATTTTATCAAATATTTTATGTGAAGACAATGATGTCTTCGTATAGTGCCAAGTAATTGATATCACTCGTTGTAGTCGAGGAAAACAAATATAGTAAATCTTATGTCTAATTAAAAGGAAAAGTAGATATTACAACGAACATTCGACGCTATACGAATCATTCAACATTTCTTACATACCTATGGTTATACCTATCGGCAGTTTTTCAACGTGATCAGAATATATAAAATTTTCAACAACCATATACTTGAATGTATTAACATTTAAAATTAATTGAAGAATTTTATAACTTATGCTATAATAAATCACTTAATTTACTAATAAATAGGTTATAATTCCATCACCATTCAGTACCTCAAAAGGAGCCATAACAAGATCACTTTATTCATTCGTCTATCTCTTACTTCAGTTATTCTTAAATTGCTACCCGACAAGCTAATTTTGATTATCATCGATGTAATTATTTTACAATAATTGATACACTATCAATGAAAACAATTCATGAATATTCACAGAACGCCTATTTCAAAAGAAATGCTTATCCTCATAGCAATATAAACAGTCTCCATTGCTAATGTTAAAGGTGAATACCTAATTAATTAAATAAAGAACACATTATCATAACATTAATTTAAAATAAAGACAATTACTTTGTTCACGAAGTCATTTACCTAAGTATTGATTTATAACACTTGCGACATAAACACCGTTCTTTACATTTTGTATGCTAACTATAACTGATTTTGTATTATAATATATGTGATACAAGATAACTTTGCATTCAGTACTCAATCTTTTTCAAACTGTGGTGGTCAGTATTACAACAAATAATAAAAAGACTCCGCTCTTCAATAGAATTGGATTTATTTTATAAATCAAATTACTACAAAATCCAATGAAAAAGGGCACATTTGTTTCTAAACTGAAGAGTTTCGTTTTTATTTTATATAGTGACATAAATGTAATAAAAAAAACTTTAGCAGGCGAACAATAATGTATAGAATACGTGTGCAGATGGTACAGTTATAGCATGTAATTGTAGTAGTTTCAGAAGCTATTTCTATAACAGAAAAAATAAGATTGCTAATCACTAATTAGGGGTTTCGTAAAAAACAAGGAACCTTTATAGATTCGCCATGTCCGTCCGTCCGTTTGTCCGTCCTCGGTTCTTTACTTTTTTAATGAATAATGGTGCGAAACCCTCGCAGTGGACTAGTTTTTTAGAATAAATAATAAAAGTAATAATTAGACTAACC